CCGCTCGACAGTTCGATGAGGAGGGAAGCGGGGGGAGGGGAGGTAGTCCAACCAAACACGAAAAAAGAGGGGGTCGAACGGACTCGACCAAAATCCCCAACAAATGATGTGCCCCGGAAGGTTAACCACAAGACAGTCGTGTGCATCAGTCGAATGTTGTAATTTAAAAGCAATCCAAAACTTACTCAAAAGAACAATTGTATAATTTTTGGAACTTTACTGAATAGATTCTGTCAGCTAAGAAACCGAGAGTATGTTTGAACTCACCTTGACAGCGTCTTTCACCAATTGTGCTGGTTCGCCTTCGACCCGTCCAGCTGCATCCCGTAATAATGAAATAACCTGAAAATTCTTTTGCAGTAACATAAGTAATAACAAAACCAGATGCACAACTAATTGTAAATAACTAACTTCATATAATTATAGGGAAAGCCTTCTAAAACATGCAAATTCGAAGTATTTTCATGAAAAGCTCCCTAGTAAACTGGATTTTCCGCTAATGGTACTGGCAACAGCAAATTTATTTTGTTGAGCGACGTACATGCAGAAAAAGAAATCACTCCGGAATTCTAAGCTCATCACTACTCTATTGTGGCAGATCGAGCTTGGAAAATGCTTTGGGCCATTCAGATCACCAAAAAGCAGGGCACATCGTTGTTGGGGAATCCCCACAGGGGGTCGTATTTGGTCGCCGGGAGAGGGGGTCGTATTTGGGCTGAGAAAAATTTATTTTGATAGTTGATTTTTTCTCGCTTCATGGCGTTGTAAAAGAAGGGGGAAGGAGGTTGGTACTCGCTCGTTTTTGGAAGGAGGATCGTATTTACTTTCTGGCCTTCTGGGAGGGTGGTTGACTTTTGTGATTTTCCTGTTTCATGTGTACTGTATACCCCCCCCTATCCCACCCCGTCAATCTCTCGACAGCGAACTTGAGTAAAGTAGATCAAAAATTCTTGGGATTGAAAGTGGCAGGAAATTGGGGCAATAATGTGAGAATTGGGTAGAGTTTGTGCGTTTTTTTCCTGGCGGCTTCCCGCGTTTCACATGTCCTGATTATCCTCCTGCCCCCCGCTCGACGGCAGGAGGGACATGAGGGCCGGAGGGGTGGGGGTTCGCTAACCAACACGCAAAAAAGATGGGGGGAGGGAGTCGTTATGGACTCGACTAAAAACTGCAACAATGATAGTGTCCTGCCAAGAAAGACTCGCTTAATAGGTACAAATCAGAGAAATAAAATATGGATGACGGCCGGGAGTTCGAAGTGGAAGTAAGAAACATGCACTTGTTGCTAGAGAATCGAATCGGCGATAATCTTACGAGCAAATATTCATTAATAAATCTCATCAGGAAAGGAAATTACCGCAGAAGGGAGGGGCCACTTCTTCTCACCCCTACCCAACTTGTATCATGTGACCTAAACAGTCCTTACCCTCCTGGATCTCCCCACTCTGCCACACCTTAATGTGTAAACCACAGTTCCTGGTGCTGGGGAAATTATTGCGAAAAAACAACGACCCGCCCTCCCTTGAATTTTCTTCTCTGCTACGACTTCTTCTCCATCTCCTTCATCGCTTACTTGTACCACTTCGCAGCTTCACAAAAACATATAGGTCTTGATAAAGTGAGATCTATCAGTTAATCTGAACTAACGACAGTGCCCCTCCCAAGCCGAACAGCACCGAACAAAAATATTAGAAATTTTCTATGGGTGAAAACAATAAGATTCGCACACAACCCCTTGAGAACTCCCTAGAAAGAGCTTTCCTGCTGGACACTGGGAGTTCACTAAGAGACTGCATTTTTTTGTACAGCCCTAATGAAGCAATATCTCATTTGTTGAGGAGAAAAACTTTAATTGAGAGTGTTTGTGGGCGTCTCTTGGGAGTAGGCGGTGCGTGAAAAACCAAAAAAATCGTGCAACTCAAGGCAAACTAAGGAGCAAAAAAGCAGCAGTGCTGTAGTTAATAACATAAACTTTGCAGTTCTTCAGGAGTTAGTAAAAGAAAGATAAGAAATAATTAGCATGGGGCGGCGTTTGTGCCACTTTAAAAACTGGGCGGAGCTTCCCACGGAAGTTCTGCTCTCGAGCTAAAGCCCTCATACCGAAAACAAATACTATGCACTCTACTTGAATCACTCAAATGCACACAAAATAGCATGCTGTAACGCAACGGTGTGTGCAATCACTTGAAAAGGGGTGGCTTTCGCCCAGGACTGAAGTAAGGTGGGCTAAGTTGGCCACAAATACATGGCCACATTGTATGAGAGCTAGCTGTTATGGCCATCCTATCTAGACGTCAAGCTGAACACAGGGTCCCAAGAAAAACTATTCAAGACACTTCAGAGTGCCACTGAGCAGGGCCTTTCATTGGAACCCTTCTAACCGCATAAGAAAAGCTACACAGAAGCGCTGTTCAGCATATCCAAGCAGGCGGCAAAAACGACGAGTTCGACTAGACTTCACTCTGGGACGAGTAGAGCCCTCCGTTCAGTCCTTTGCATCTCTTCCAAAGACTTGAACTTGGGTGAGGATGCATGGGAAGCAGGGTACGCCATCGTTGTGATAATCACAGCGAGGGTCGTATCTGACTGCGAGGGAGGGGGTAGGGGTCGTATTTGGTCTGAGAGAAATTTTTTGATAGTTGATTTCTCTTGTTTTACGGGCGCAATGAAGTGGGGGGGGGTCGTATTTGTCTTTTTGAGGAATTTGCGGCGTTGGGAAAAAACTTTTCCCGGTTCGTTGGCTTTTTGCGGTTTTTCCCGTTTCACCCGTTTTACTGGTGTTATATACCTCTCCCCCTAGTTGGCGGCACTGCCAAAGAATTATACAACTACTATTTCCGATAGTTGCAAATAGCAGTGGGTTTTTGACGATCCCCACTACCCCCGCTCGACAGCAAAATTTAGGGGAAAAACTGGAAATTTTCCCGGAAATGCCGGAAAAACAGGAAAAAGGTGAGGAAATCCCGTAAAGGTCGGAGGTTAGGCGGATGGAGGGGGATCGCATCGGATGGAATGAGAGGGGTCGTATTCTGCAGGAATTTGTCACAACGCGATGGCGTGCCCTGATGGGAAAGATCGCCCACCACGCGAGGACTTTCGAGGCCAAACACAGGCCTAAGCCAGACTTAGTTTGAATGCGCTAACGTCTTGGACTTTTCCACAGGCAGACGCATTTCCGGAAGTTACCAACGAACCTGCCAACTTATACGCAGGTGAGGGGGGGGTTGTATTTGTCTTTATGAGGCAGTGCGGCGTTGTTGACTAACCTATTACTTGAGAGGGGAGGGGGGTGGTGGAGAGATGACTCAGACTCGCGAGACAATGAGCGTCGCCTCAAGCTAATGCGCCGGCTTTGTTCAGTGCCAACAACGATGACCACGTACCAATACGTGCGCCATTCCTTGGCCCGAACAGCACACATTGGGCCCTATTAGCGTGCGCCACGCATTCTCTATAACCAACATTATTCTTGTGCGTTGATAGTCCCGGCCTCTCAATTTTTGGTGCGACTACCCATTCTCCGCTACGTTCCTCCGATAGCGCCTTTTTCAGCAGTTTATCATGAGAACCTCACCCGATTCCCTCGCACTTGAGGCACCTCCACCTCACTCTGCAGTCTTGTTCGCTGCGAATGAAGGGACGACCAGTAAGGGTGGATTTGGCGAGCCGCCTGCCCGTCTTTCACCAGTTGTTGAAACGGGTAAGCGACAACAGTAGGTGGGAAACAGCTGATACGAACTATGATACGTTAGATCGCTTGTCGAAGAAAATGAAAGAAAAGAAACGGGCTAGCGGCGCGCCAGACCCATCCCATCTGAGCAAGCCAGCACGCTTTGGTCCACGACTCCAGGGTTCGGGTCCCGGCTGAGGCCAAGTTCAGCCGTTTTGCGCACAACTCAGCAGCCTTATTATGACCCTCCTCAGGGCGTTCTCTTCTTTCTGGCCTTCCTGAACACATCCTTAGCAAACCATCAAGCCCATAAGTTACATAGGGTAGCTGGTTCGACCTCAGCGTCTTTCCCAACCGACCTCAGCGCCTTGTCCAGGAACTCACAACAATCACTCCTTGAAATAGCCTTGAAAACGCAACTATACAGGGTTCGGAGAGTCGAATCCCTAGCGAAGTGTAGATACCGGAAATCGGAAATCCAACAAAATTCAAGCCCAGGTCCTTCACCGAAATCGGAGCAAACGCTGGTCCAGTGCCTATCAACACTTCATGCAAAGTGGCTGTGAACAACGGGTGTCTAACCACCACAATGATCACGTGTGACTCGAATAAGACCCTAGTGTTATTGCGCTATACGCACTATTCAACTACAGCAACACAAATACCTGAGTATTTATTTCATCGTTGATTGGCTGTGGCCAAGTCGGACATGTGGGCATTGAGGCTGTGGGAACAAAATCCACGGATATCATACTTTGATCCTGAAGAAGTTTCATTCACGGGTAATATCATTCACCGCGCACGATTATTGATCAAATGCCCATTCGGTCCGTATCTTCGTGCCAGCCTTGTCCATAGCTAACTCTGATAATTGGATAGCAACGGCCATTGCGTGGATAAAGTCTCGGATCAAAGCCGACTTTTAATCATTTCTCTTACTTTTCAAACATGAAGAGAAGGTGATTATGAGATTAGCGCCCAGCTTCGGGGGATTTCCCTCCCACAAACACCTCGAAGGGCATTAGAGGATTAATCAGCCAGGTTTAAAGGAATTACCAAAGGGATAAGGGGATCATCAAGGATGGTCATCACTCT